GTAAGGATTTGGACTGGAGAAAGTCAGAGTCCAGGCTCAACCTCACTCCAGCTGGGAGTCCCTATAGGCAGTGAAGAGGGTCCCATGGCCAGACCTGCTCAGGCCACACTCCACAGTTCCTATAGCCTAGCACAGTTCCTATAGCTACTGGAACTCCTACAGTTCCAGTAGCCTGCAAATACTCTGGGTACCCCATCCTGGGCCACCCCCTCTCCCAACACCTGGCTCTTCTATCTTGGGCCACACTCTGTCCCTATCCCAGGTGTTCTGGTTGAGGGAAATGGTTTGAGCCTGCTCCAATAAGGTTAAGGCCCAGGCAGGTGATCTGGGTGATCTGCTACCGGGTGATCGATCTTCAGGTATCTCCGTGCCTGGAAGGCTCAGATGTAGCTGCTATGGGGAGTAGGGGACCCCATGAAGCCTCTGTGTCCCAGGCTCAGCTGGACTCATAATGTCTGTGGCCCCAGGTTTCCTGGTTATTAGAGGGCACAAGGGCTCTCATGTGTCCACTGACCCATACTGGGGACAGTACAGGGCTGGAGTGTCTACCCAGGCAGCACAGCCTGGCTGGTTCCACTCTCCTTAGGCCTCTGAGGCACTGGGCTGGGGTTCAGGGGACTGAGTGCCAGCTCTGGGATGTCGGGATGTTGTGAGGACAAGGGACCCCATTCACAAGGGCACTACTGGGGGTCTAGTGTGGCTGGCCAGATGAAAGAGCCTTGGTGGCTCAGGGCACAGGGCCTCACAGTCTCCAAGGGGCAGGGTGTGCTCAGGCTGTGCCCAGAGAGTAGGGCAGCTATGGCAACACCAGACCAGGCACCTTCTGTGCTCACTGCTGTCCCCTCCTGGCCTTGGCCTAAGTCCAGCCACCTGGCCTGGAGGGCAATGACCATGTACTCAAGGCTCCACTGTGCCAGGGATGCAGCCTTCCCTGGGGGCCTGGGCTAAGTGAGCCCCTCCACCCGTCCTCTCATGTAGGGGTCTTTGCTCCCCCAGCAGCCCTGCCTGTCCCCTCCCTACACAGCCCTACGGACAGTCCAGGGAAGGTGCTCCCCCGGAGCAGGGCTGCCAGGGTTCAAGGATGAGGCCAGTGCAGGGGCAGCTCCCACCTGACTCCTTGATGGCCTATCTGTTGTTGCCCTTATGGGCATGGGCTCCACATGGCCTTAGCAGGCACTGGACCATACCTAGCTGCCAGGGAGGCTCTCGCCATCTCAGGGGCCATCTTCTGGGGGCAGGGCACATTAGAGGAACAAGACTGTCCCAATGCCCAAGGATAGGGCTCCTGGGGCCAGCCCCACACACAACAGAGCCCCCCCTTGTCCCCTCTCTGCTGCCCTGGTCTCTGGGAGGGGTGGGAGGACTGGGCTGTACTCAGGCACAGGGGTAGGGTCCAGGCTAGACCCCAGCAAACAGATGGCCAGGCAGGTGGGCTGCCCTCTCTCATCTGCATCCAGCCCTGGACCACTGGGCTAAGCCAACACTGCTGAGGCCCTGCTTGGCCTCTGCTCTGCTTACTCCTCAGTTCTTCAAGTGCATGGGATGGGTGGGCTGTCCAGGCAGGAAGCGACAGGCCCCTAGAAGGAGCCTATAGGAAGAAGCATTAAGGCAGGGCTACTACCAGGGCAGGCAGACAGGCCCCAGAGCAGTGGCCCCAGGAAAGAAAGGCAAGGGGCCACTTGTGAGCTGAAGCTGTGACAGAGAGGACTGCACAGAGGGGCCACCCACCCCATGGAGAACTGCTGTGGACGACACTCCTGCCACCCATCTCAGGACCCAGGGGACTCATGGGACTGTGCAGCTGCTCTGCTAGGACTGGAGAAGCAGAGGGTGGCCAGGGCCCTGAATCCAGTCTGGCCTGGACTGCCCTCCTGTGGGAGCTGGGAAGGAACACAGCGTCTTGCGTCTGCCCAGCCAGGAGCCAGTGCTGGCCTCACAGCACTGGCTGGTACAGGGGAGACCCCACTGGGGTCTAGTCCACCCCTGTGGCTCCAGAACCACATGGGGCTTGTTCCTGAATCCAAAGAGCAGGCCACTGCCCAAGGGTGCAGGTGGGTACCAGGAAAGAGGCAAACCCCACCTACACACACAGGGTGTCATCTCACTGCTGGGGCCAGGATTCCCTGCCCAGGGTGAGGGTGGCCCACAGGCCACCACTGTGGTGAGGGCAGGAGACAGTCAGCCAGACTCCAGGGGGAGACATGGGGGGCCCTGAGGCTACTGAGTAGCTGTCTAGCCTTCCCAAACCTCAGTTTCCCCATCTGTGCAAAGGGATTGAAGAAGATCTTCTCACAGTGCTATGCAGGTTTTCTGGGAGAGAAGGTGGCCTGGGACATCTCCATCATATTGTCAGAGGCAGGATTGGCCCTGCTCATACTGAGCCTCTCTAACCACTCCTCCCTCCATAGGTCCTTTGCCTGGACTACTTGCAGCGCCATCCCCTGCCTCTGTCAGGCAGCAGGTGAGGGCATGGCCCAAGCCCTGGCTCTCAAGGATGTAGCAGCTGGCTCTGGTGGGCAAGTGCCACCTGTGGGGAACCCCATGGGTCAGCAGGAGGATGGGGAAAGGGCAAGGTGAGGCCACCAACTATAAGCCCTTTCTGCCAAGAGACAGCTACCTTCATTTCTGATTCCAGCAGGATGCCAGGCCATGGCCTAGGATTTCTGACCTCAGGGTCATGTCCTCATCACCATACTGGACAGGATGAACCTCAATCAGGACACATGAAAACTCATTGCATTTGACCTGAGCCTCCTCATCTAGGATACAGAGCAATAGAGCTCCATCCATCCATCCATCCATCCATCTGTCCACTGGTGCATCTGTCCACCCATTTGTCCATCTGTCCATCCATCCACCTCCATCCATCCATTCTTCTTTCTGTCCATCATCTGTATCCCTCCATCTACCTGCCCATCTATTCATCCATCCATCCACTCATCTGTCCACCTCTCTATCCATCCATCCATCCATCCACCCACCTCTCTATCCATCCATCCATCCATCCACCCACCTATCCATCCATCCATCCATCCATCCACCCACCCGTCTATCCATCCTTCCATCTGTCCATCCATCCATCCATCCATCCTTCCATCTGTCCATCCATCCACTCATCTGTCTATCCACCCATCTGTTCATCTACCCACCTATCTGTCTCTTGCCTGTCCATCCATTCATTCATCTGTCCACCCATCCATCCGTGTACCTGTCTACCTACTCATCCATTCATCAGTGTGCCTGTCCACCTGTCCATCATCCATCTGTCCATCCCTTTTTCCACTCATTTGCCCATCTATACAACCATCCACTTATCTGTCCATCATTCATTCACCCATTTATCCACCCATTCATCCGTCCACCCATATGTGCACCTGTCCGTCCATCCATCCATCTGTCCATCCATTTGTTCACCATTGACCATCCCTCTTCCCAATCATAGGTATTGAGCCTCCTCTGTGGCAGGTACCAACCACCTTGGAATCGGGGCCAGTGATGGAGAAGGCAGGTCTGCATCTGCCCCTGTGCAGCTGGTGTGACTGTGCCAGATGCCCAGAAGGTTAGGTTGTGCTGTGGCAAGCACCACATGTGGGATCATTTGCATGCATGGTAGGTGCCGATTTTGTGGGGCCTTTGGTGAGGGTGTCCAGTCTGCTGTCCCTACCCAGCTGCCCACTCTAGAATCTGCTTGGTCCTGCACTATCGCCCTGCAGGAAGCATATGTGGGAGACTTGCTCCGTCACACAGGGGTGTGGGGATGGTCTGCTTTCAGAGGGACTCTGGACAAGCCCAGTGAGGAGCCACCCTCCTAAGCCACAGGAGGTGGAAGCAGTCAGGACCCAGGAGGCATCTCTCTGGATGGTCTTTGCTCTCTAGCATTGCCAGAGACTGCTAGACCAGCTCCCTGGCTGCTCCCCTGAGTGTGGTAGAGGCTGAGATGGGCACTTATTCCTGCTGACAGCTCTGGGCTGTGAGGCAGGGGCTGCTTCAACCTTCAACAGGGGCCCGCCTGGTACTGCCATTCTGGCAGGAGACAGAGGGGAACAGGAAAAGGGAGAGACAC